AATTGTGAACCCAAAGTAAAGGGCACAACTGTTCAAAATTTCCTCATCAAACTTCTTCAAAACAGAAAGAGGAAAAAACATTTTCTAACAAGACAATCTCTTTGGAGTAGATCTTGGAAATTGACAAATATTTCTCAGTCATAGAAGCTCATGATAGAATTGAGGTAAGAAAAGATAACAATTTTGGGGCAAAATTTGTTGGCCAAGAAGAAAAAAATGACACAAGTCAAGAATTGCAAAGGTACGCTTTGGTGTGAAAAAATGAAGAGGAATAAATCATGGAGAGAATGAAGACTTCTCAGGCATCCATTCATGACCGCTGATCAAGAAAACATGCATTTCACATAGACATAAATGTTATATGAATTTGCATCTTACATCAAACATTCATCATCACATGCAACATAATAAACTTGGACTTCCCTCTCATAAGGATGCCTTCTAAAAAAAATTCTCTTGAAATTTTGTCTTATTTACGACCATTTTTCTTCTCTCATGAGGACACATTTACAATTTCCTGAAAAACAATTAATTTCATCCCAACATTCATGAAAACGTTCAAGATAGTTGCATTCATACATGCACATTTTTTACAAACCTTTTAGGAAAGAAATGATTGTTGACAACTAGATCTCCTCGACATGAATGAGTAGTGTTGTCTTCAAATTTGACTTCTAGAAATAAAGAAGCAAATTACCCAAATATGACTAGACGTCCTATACATGAAGGAACAATATCGTCCATTGACTAGACCTCCTCAACGTGAAAGAGCAATGTCATAATCAGATTTGACATCGAGCAAATCATTCAACGCGAAGGAGCAATGTCGTTTCCAAAATAAATTATCTTCAGACAATCAAACTTCCTCAACGTGAAGGGACAATGTTGTTTTTAAATGCATAGTCTTTCAAATACGACTAATTGTCCTCATCACGAATGAACAACATCATTAACAAACCTGATGCCTTTAAACGAAGGGTCGAATCATCAAACAACGATTAGACTTCCTCAATGTGAAGGAACAGATCCTGTGTCTCCCTTGAGATTGTTTCTCTTGAAACAGTTTCCCTTGAAGCAAACTTAAACAAAATTGTCTCACTCGAGACAATACTCTCTCAAAAGTTAAAATTTTTATCTCACATGAGATAATTTCTTTTGAAACTGATTTTATCTTGCTCAAGACAGTTTTCTTTGGAAACCAAAACATTGACATATTTTCTATTAAAAAATTATCTTGCTTAAAATTTTTTCTCTTGAAAGTACAACTTATGACATTATTCAACTCTTTTGAAAATGTTTCCCGAAATGAAGAATTCAATCTCCCGTGAGATAAGGATTATTCTTAGTATCACTCGAGACAACATCAAATTTAAAAGAAAAAGATGAAACCATACAAAAATTTGTTGTCTTGTCGTCTTTACCCTATTCTTGTTAACACAAGAATGAACAAAGAGGGAAAACTGTTGACACTCATATTTGTTCGAGTCGTTTTTCTATTTATTTATTTTATTTTAATTTTATGATATTACTAAAAATATTTTTCTTTTTATAGATGATACAAGAGACACAAGATCCAATAGATCCAAAACAGGCCCAAATTTAAAAAAAAAAACTAGCCTAAAATTTTAGGGTTTTTTTTCTTCTGAACCATAGGAAGCCACAAGTCATCGCCGGCACCCCTAGCCCCAGTCGCACTGATTCCGCCAAGAAAATAAGCTGATCAATAAAAAACAGAAAGATCAATTAACAATGAATGAAAAATTAATCAAAGGACAAATCTAACAAAACTCATTAAAATAATGAAAAATCCCAGAAGATCTTATGGTTTAAAGACTAGGAATTTTATTCACCAACGTTACTGAGTAGGCTCACTATGATAATCATCATGAAATATCAGCAAAGCAACCATAAAAATGAAGAGATCAGATTGATAAAGGAGAGCACGGAAAAATAGCAATCAGGAAAAAAAATTAAAAAAAAAAAAAGAGGAGAGAACAAAAGATAGAAGTTTACTATTGGGTCTTTGATGGCGGTAGCTCCAATGATTAGACAGTAGATTTGAATGGTGAAGAGATGCGCACGGGTAAAGGGACAAACATACTTCAAAACGGAATTTATCCAACGGTCGGATGAGGAGATTGGAGAGTGGTAAAACCGAATGGTTTTCGACTGATTCGTGAAGCTCTTAAGATTTTTCGAAGAAACCAAGGCCGAATATGAACTACTGGCGTTGAGACGAACCTTCCCTTAAAGTTTGACGTCGAACGGCCGCCAGATACGACGACAAGCCACGGCGGAGAACGATAGTCTTCCCTTCCCGGTGAAATGGTGTAGAACCCATTCTCTCTCTTTTGTGGAGGTAAGGTAAGAAATGAATCAAAAAAAAAGTTTGCCTTTATACTCTTGTAAATGATTTGCTTTGGGGTAAATCATCTTGTAATCCTCCTGATGTTTCAGTAAATGCGTTTTAGTTCCTGTTTTGGTTAATTTCATGATATTTCGAGTTTATACCTTTACAATCAGTTTGATTTCGTCCCATTATTATGCCTATTCAGTTTATATGTATTTTCGTGCGTTCAAACCTCGTTATTTTTGTTTAATCCATTTTAACTTGTATTAGTACAACATTAGATAGGTACATAGCTTCATAATATATTATATATTTATTTACGTGTTATAGTTTTAGCATAAATTATTATATATATTTGTGTCATATATATTTTAAATTATAACATTATATATATTTACACGTGTTAAGCTTTCTATATTTTATATCTATTATCATATGTTGCATGTTTATTATATGTATATATTATATTTATAATATGTTGTAATTATTTCAATTATATATATATATATATATATATTTACCACTGACATATACTCTAATATACATACTTATAGGTAAATATGTTTGTATTACATAGTTATTATTATAATATTAAATAATGTTACCAGGTAAATAATGCATATATTTAGTAAGTACATTCATTAATTTAATATGCATATGAAATGTATATTTTTATATATAATATTCATGTTTGGATATATTCTTTAATGTGTATTTCCTATTATAAATAACTTTGACTTCTTATTAAATATATTTTTTTATTTTTATGTCCTAATCTTAGGATATATACACACATACATGTTGTGAGATTTATATTTTACATTAATTAATTTGGTACACACACACACACACATATATATATATATATATATATATATATATATATATCAGTTTATTTATGGTATATTCAATTGCTTTGTAAATGTATAATACTACATACTTTTATTAAAAGCTAAAGCACCTTTTCTTTACTAATATTTTCTATGAGTTCATTCGTATTCATTTTTGACAACGTCTGTTGTAGAATGGGTGTAAAAAGCATCACTCGATAGGAGTAGTGTGATTCGACGATTCGAACGAAAGGTGAACTCAAAATAAATCGAGTCTATTTTTGTACAGTTTTGTGATTCAAAATAATTAATGTTCGATAAAAAGGATCATGTTTTAATTTTTTATTTAGATTTATTCATTGCAACGACAACGTATAAGCAATTAAGTACCAGTTTTGGGCGTTGTGGGATGTTTATCCTTCTCTATGCGTAACCGACTCCCTAACCCTTTAAATCTGAATCTTTGGTAAGCACAAACCAATTTTTATCTTTAAAATGATTTTTATTAAAATTGTTTTTAAAAAACGTTTTTAAATATTCGATTTACCTAATCCAAATGTCGATAACAAATCCAAATCAAATTCATTCAAAATAAAGTCATAATTATTTTAAATTCAATTTTTTGAATTTTTAAAAAATAGTTATGAAAATATAAATATAGTAATTTATTAAATTATTATTTTTCATATAAAATATTTAATCATTTTTAGTAATTGATTTTAATTTTGTCGTCCATTTAAACTGAAATCTTATATAATATTAACATCTTTTATAGTGATTCAAATGTGATTTTATTTGCACGAATCAAGTTATTTTAATGGTTAAAAAATATTTTTTTATCTCTAGAGATCATCAGTTCGAGCACATTATAAGTAAGAGGTGTTTAAATGTCCGTTATTAAATGAGTTAAGAATCTTTCGAACATATACTACCTTGTAATTACCCTTATATTTTACAAAACAAATTTCATTTTATTTACAATATAAATATTTAAGTTTTGTTTAAACTTATATTTATAATTGACTAATCTCATTATATATTTTTAAGAATATTTTATATATGATCTAGTATTCAGGCATTAATACATTTTCTTTTATTAAAAGTATAAGTATAAATAACGTAACACATTTTTTTTATATTCTCACCCTCCTATCCGATAAAGTTGTTATATTCCAACTTTTGTTGGCGATCATAATTTTAATTTTAATAAAGTTTCTTATTAATTTTTTTTGGTTACATTGTATCTGATGAAGCAGAGGGGAAGTTTCTTATTAATTTTTAAAAACTATGTTTTAAAATTTTTATTAAATAATTTTTAATATATTTTTATAAAATTAAATTAATTAAAAAATTTAAAATCCTTGATATTAAAGTTAAAAAAAATTGATCCATTAAGTCGACTGTAATATTTTAATCATGTACCAAATAAAACTCTAATATTTTGATCAAGCTTTAAATGTTAAAGCTGACCCTTAATTGTATATTCTTTTTTGAGTAGAATCGTACTTATATTTGTCAGATCTAATCTTTCTTCTCAAAGTTGGGAAGAATACACTTATGTTTGTTTTCGCGGTCGTAGAAAATGTTTGTTTCTGGGTGACCATTTTTGTTTGATAATCGAAATCAACTTCTAATGGTTGGTTGGTCTATGGAGGTCAGGATACATTGTTCTTTTGCATGGATTTCATTAGTAAAAGCCATGGAGCCACGTTCAATGAACCTCGCCCTCATACCTGAAGTTTGAAGAAATGTAGAGATAAAAAGAAAAATGACAAACCGAAGACTGCTTTGCAGTTTTCATTTTTAACCAACAAACCATCAATACGGTAAGCGAAAGCATTGCCTATTTGTTTTATTTAGATCACTTGACTCCTTTTGAGTCCGAAAGCTTAGTAGCACTGCCACCACCGATTGAACAAGACCCTTCTGAACCAAGAGATCCCATCGGCTTCTCCGTATCGGCATTATCATGGCTGCTGCTACATTGTCTTATAAACCTATCTGCCATGGAGGAGGGAGAGAGTGTATCAAAACTCATGGTTGCAATGCCACTAACGTCGCTAGTCCCACTATAAAGGCCCCTACTTCCGGTAATAAGGATACCTTTTTTCTCGTCGGTAGTAGTCAGAACTGTTGGTAGCACATCTATCAATGGAGGGTTGCTCTGAGCTGAGCTGCTGATGAGTAGACGGAGAGTTTCTCTTGCACCTTTCTCCACCACCGAATTGGTAGTATCAGTTAATAATGGGTTCACAAGGCTCGGATGCAATGGTGGGATTGTAGTTGATATGGTAGGACCAGCACTAACCAAGTAGCCTTGTCCTGAAGAGCAAACGTCAATGACCGGAATATGAACTATGGGATCACAAATCAAAGGTGTGAAGGTTGGAATTTGCTGTGAACTTGCCAAGGGCAGTCGGACTAACGGTTCTGGGAGGAAAGCTGGAAAATCAAGTGAGGGAATATTGGCAAGACCAAGAGGAAGATTTGGTTTCAACGAGCTGGAGACACCATTTGTTGGCAATATTGACGAAAGTGGCGGAAGCTTAAAAGATCCGACAGATGAGGCAGGGAGATGAGAGGCAGCTGAGTGTTGCACAGTTGGTGATCCAGGGGGGCACCAACAATAGTAAGGAGAAAATATAGGAGATCCTAAGGTGGGAAATTGGGAAACACTGCTCGGAGCTGAAGGAACTGTAAATTTTCCAAGTGATTCAAGGAAACTTGGAGTGAATGAACAACTCTTGACATCTGGAAGCTTGTCGATTTCAGCTTGATTGCAATCCAAAGAACTGTTTTTAATAGGTGAAGTAGTTGTAAGGTTCTCAGCAACCGGATGAAAGTTGTCTCCACGCCTTTGTAACTTATCCCTGGCAGTGCTCCTTGAGAAAGATAAGTTTCGGGCCAATCCCTCTTTGAAAGAACTCGATCTTGGACTTAAGCTGCCTTGATAAAGTGAGTTCACCTTGACTGCTCGACTGCTAGAGTAACTGGATCGCAAGGATTGTGATGCAGTGGATGAAGATTGCCCATAGTGCTCATCAATGGCATCACGCGTGGTACTGGGTGAAGGTAAACCAGAATGTGCTTGTATCTTAACTGTTGTTCCTAGGAGATAAGCACGGAGCGGAGTTACAAAACAGTCAAGTCGTAACTCGTTGATTCCAGTTAATTCAGCTATAGATGGTTTTCTCTTGATTAGATCCTTCATCTATCAAAGGGGAAAAAAACAATATTAGATACAGATCGCTTTACAAACAAAGAATTTGCACAGAACTGTTAGTACGAGTATTGAAGAGTTAAACATCAAGTACCTTTGAAAGCAATTCATACCCCAAGAGCTTTGACTTCTCCGAGCACCAATAGTAAAAACCTTTGCCATCTGGCACTTTCACAAGGAAAGATCGTCCAGAACTGTCTGCTGGAATCTCATTGATGGAAACAGCGGCACACTGATGTTTGTCACTTAAGGTAAACAATCTCTCTGTTTGACCATCATCCCCAACAAACGAAAGGCGCAAGTCTGATGTTGGCAAGAGTGCAAGACTCAAGATTCCCCTGTGGCAATTTGAAAATATTTAGATTTTAGAGAGGTAGAAGTAAAATATAAACAACAATTTGGGAAAATCAAGTCATAAGCATAGATATCAAATTTATTACATTACAACTTGCATGACAGAAGCTGTAAGATTTAGTGGTTCAAAGCATCCCACAAAAGCTCAAGCAGGAATTCTAAGTAGATGGATTCAACTGTAAGTTATAGAATTATAGCACAGGTAACCAAAAAAGATAGGCTTTAGTGAACTTTTTGGGATGTCTATGTAAGGTTGGGAGCTTAATTTTAGTAAGCTCAATATAAAAAATCCCTAGAGAAATTCAGTTTGTTCTATCTAAAGCATCACACATGAATCTATAAGTATCTGCTATGACGCAGTCTAGCACTCCTATATATTTCCAACTGTATTGGTTTTATGGTCTCAACAATTCAAAAACAACCAGGGGGATATCATGCAACAGATCTTACAAGCTTCCTTTAGACAAACATAGACAGATGTGAACAAGAATAAGGGGCTATCATAAATTCCTATCAAGAATTTGTTTAAACTCACGAGTATAAACAATCAAATCAACTAATAAATGGCATTATATGGCAAAAGAATGACCATGGGATAATAACGGCACGGTAAATATTCAGTTCACATTTGAAACAAAAGTTACAGCAAAATTAAGAATACTGACACTGAGAAAGTAGCATAACTGTAATTCAGACAAGTCACTGGCACCCTATTTTACTTATAACTGATTCATTCAATGTCAGCCTTGTATATCCGCGAAACAGCAGCAGCCAATCATATACATAATATAGGAGATGAAACTACCTTTATTTCCTCAAAATTCAGAGATCATTATAGAATACGCCCACTTTACCTACAAGCGAAAAGATATATTTATTTGGAAGCATGTACGTGAGGACCAACAACAAGCTGAACTAGAACCCTGCAATTTCTACTAATTACCAACTACAAGATATAACCATCCATTCAAACTGTAAAGTACAGTAAACGTGGTACTACATAACAGATTACAACACATGAAATCAATTCAACTAGTTGCTAGATTAGAACACTATAAGAAAATGTTGATGGAAGATACAGATATAGGGTTTTTTACAGAAAAAATAACCAAAGCATGATAAATTAGACATAACACAAAACAATGCTGAATGCAACCAGATAAGATGCACCAATATAATAAATCATGAAATTGATCATATATGGACTCAACACAAGGCTATATTAAACATAATGCCTTTAGTAAATCTCAATCATAAACAAACGAGAAACAATCACCACAATTAAGAAATAGACCAAATTCCAAGATTAAGAAAAGGGTTGGAACTGCCTATGTAGCAAACTTGAGTTAATATAAGAAAATGTCAGTACATGTGTGACAATACATTACATGCAAACTTACATTATCATATATGGGTTACATACTGCGACAACCAGAACATTCTAAATCATGTATGTTTTATATCAGCTGCCTGCATGGAATATCAAAAGCATTTCCGTATAACATAATGCAGTTGATTAGAACCATCTTAATTCCCAAACAGAGACAGAAAGGGTAGAAAAGAGTTGCAGTAATCCAAGGCAAATTGCCAAAATGCTATATGCTTAAAGACTATGAAAGATAAAAGGCACTAATGAATAAGAATTATGGATGAAAAACTAGGGAAAGGTGTGCCATATCCATAATTGGTCTTTAATATTTCAAACTAAGCATAGCTCACTAATTTAATAGTTCCAAAATTTCAAAATAAGATCGAAACCCTAGAAGGGCAGAAAAGAGTCGTAGTAATCCAAAGTAAATTGCCAAAGTACTATATGTTTAAGGATCAAGAAAGATCAAAGGAATGAGACCATTACAATTGTATCATTAATGAATATGAATTATGGATAAAAATCTAGGGAAAAATGTGCTATACCTATAATTTGTCTTTAATATTCCAAACTAAAGATTAACTAACTAATTTGATGGTCCCAGATTTAAGTGGAAAAAATCTACCATAAACGAGTAGTTTCTAGAGAGAGCAGAATGTAAAAGTTCTACAGAACTTTATGACAATATATAAGCATATGGCTGTGTAATATATGTTATGGATAAATGCTCATGGTTTGCAACAACAAAGAATAATATATATTAATTGACTGAACACGATATCCAGGCCAAGTTAGTCTATGATAAATCCGCCAATACCAGTAAAATTCAATTACCTTAAAGCAGTAGGCTGAAAATGAATCCCTTCTTTGTTGATCTTCCCCACTCGAATTGAAACCAAAGGTATGCAAAAACACCTCGCCAGCATACCAACTTCCGATGGCTCAAAGTGCTAAGATTTTAAGCAAACAAATCAAATTAAACATACAAGTCAACCAAATCAAAAATTTTACGAAGCAAGTACAAAATTCATGTTAAGAGTTCAATTAAAACGGATAAAGAACAAAAATTTCGAATTTATTAATATACCTGACTCAAATGAGCTAACAATCGATCCTCGGCAACGCCGTTTGAGACACTGACTTTCAACAAGGGCTTTAACCTTTCATCGGTCCGACAGGCGCCCATTACTTGCACATCCAAAGCTTGTAACCATTGCAGAACCCTATCCTCTCGATCGCTTTGTTGAATCAGCAAATCTCCATCGTTTTCCCCAACGAATATGTCGGTTAAGCGTTCCGCGAGTCCGATTCCGATCCTTTCCTCGCCGTTCTGTGTCGATGCCGTTCCAGAGGTCTCAACAATGTTGTTCATTGAAGACGACGCGTCCAATGAATCGATAATTTCGTCGTCGTTTTGATCCACGCGATCGTCAACGAATTCACGGTTTCTAGAATTAGACATCTTAGAATTCAACAATCAAAAAATTACCTCAAGAAATCAAATTCTTCGATTGATTGCGAAAAGAAGGGAAGTTCGAACGGAGAAAGCTTCGAAGGAAGTGATTTTAAAGAGAGGGGAAGATTTTAGAGAGAGACGAAAATATCTCCTTCACAAAAATGGTTTAATTAAAGATTGAGGCTATCACCTGGAATTTGTTATATAAAAATATCTAGCGGACGTCAAGGTGTTCTAGAATACGATTAATTGTTGTCATTTGAGATCCGTGTTTGGTTTGTTTAAGTTAATCACTTATTTTATATTTTTGTTTAATTTATGGTTAACATTTTAAATTTGATCATTTTATTTAAAAATAATTTTTTTAATATTTTAAATAAAGAAATAGATAAATAGTTTGAATATCTGAATCTAATATATTATTCAGAAAAATAAAATTAATTCAAATGATAAAAATATTAATTTCACACTATCAATTATTATTCTTGAGTCTAATTTTACATATTCATATTAATTAGATTGATGGTATTAATTATTTTTTAAAATAATCTTAAGCATTTTGTTGACAGGTTAACATAAATTGAATATAATTGATTGAATTTTTCATAACTTTGATTTTAATTAAATAATAATAAATAAAATGTTAGGTCTTCACTTAAACCGACAGTAACTTTGCCAAAAATTAAAGCCTATGAAAATACTAGCCAATGCCAATGTTTATGAAAATACCTTTATTTGTTGGTATGAAAGTTTATCTCTAGAAGACATAAGATACACTGATCCCGAAAGCAATTTATTATCTTGTTCGAAGAATGCTAGACATGGGAATTAAGTTGAACAAGTGCCATGAATTTCACCATATTGGACTACATTCTCAGATTGAATTTTGCCTTCACCTTCCATATACATATCATGGTTATCGAGTTGCAACACAGAGATTACTTGGAGACGATCTACTACCACTCTTTTATGAGAAAATGAGCTCTTGAGGCACGCACTTCATCGTTGGCCGGAACTTCGGGTTCGACCTTAAGCAAGCGAAGGCAATCATGATGAACTTTTGGTGGGTGGCAGTCATGATGCAGATAAGATAAAGCGCTTGCTGTATCTTTGATTACTTTTACTCTTTTGCTCCAACCCATCTCCGCTGCTTCCACATCGTCTTTGAAGACGGAAAATAAGCTCCCTCGGGGCATGTATTCGTAAATCAGAAACATGCAACGATTGTGGAGACAAAATCCATGAAGCTTCACGATGTTCTTGTGTCGGATTTCAGATAACATTTTGGCCTTCTTGAAACTCCTGTCAAAAGCTGGGACCTCTGCTTCTCTGCGGTGGAGTTTCTTTAAGGCAACAATCTTTCCACTCGGTAACTGTACTCTATAAACACTACCATAACCGCAGGTGCCGATACAGTATCGGATGTCAAAGTCATTTGTGGCCTCAATGATGCCTTGGAATGCAATTCTTCCATCAAAGTTCCAGATGGAGAATAAATCTTAATTTTTGGTGGCATTTGGTTCAGGCGTTTTATATTTTGGTCTGCATCTCAGCCAGAGTAAATATGCTGAACATAGCTAGGCTAAAAGTCTGACAACCGGAACAATGATATTCAACTTGTGTATCACTTTGCTGCTTGCTGTAGTGCTTCCAATGGGAGGACAAGAGCAAACAGGGAATCCTATGACATTTCCACATAAACGCTTGTTACCCCGAAGTGAGTCAGGTTCAAATGAACTCATGTAATATGGGATACGACCTTCTAGAGAATTATATGATAGATTAACCACTTCCAAAGCGACAAAGATTCAGGGATTATGCCATTTAGATTATTGTGACTAAGATCCAAAACCCTGAAGTAAGTCTGGTCACCATCTCGTATGACAAGCATCGTTTTAATTGTCAAAATAAAATAAGCCTCTTCGAATATAAAATAAATAAGTGAGAAGTAGAATAGTGGAAGAGGGTCGATCCACATGAAAATATTGGAATCTTTGAAGCGATTTATGTTGATTTTATCCAGGAAGATGTAACAAAACAAAATAAAGAAAAAAGAGGGGTGTGGTAGCCGAATTTAAGATGAAGCAACTAAGTAAAATCAAATAAGTAATTGAACAAAGTAATGAATCAGAAGAAAGCCGTAAATAATTTTGGAAAATTACGATGAGAGAAACTGCCTCGAGCTAGCTTTGTTTCGATTTCTTCGATCATAGAAATGTATTTTTGCTCCAGGATTCATGTCGGTTACAGTCTACAAGGCCAACCCATTGTAATTTGCCCTTCTCTTGTGTAACCAATCTTCTCAAGTTTATCTTTGAAAGACGATTCTGGAGTGGACTAACCACATCTATTATCGTTAAAACATTCATATTAAAAACTCGAAAGGCTCGACTCGGATGTTGTCTCGTCGAGAATCGATTACGATCTCGTTTTCCCTTAGCGGGCATCCGCTAAGCATGTTCACAAAAAGTCAAACTGCCATAGGCTGATCCTTCCCCCAACGGTATTTTCAAACAATGTTCGGACCAACGTTGACTTTTTGATTCGAAAACGTTTAAAAAATTATGAACAAGGCCGATTGTCAAGCTCTTTTATCCAGAAAAATGAGAACGTATCCCGAAGGGATTTAAGCGCTTTGTTTGATTCTCATGAATAAAATCGATTCATTACTAGCTCTTAGCACAAGAAAATTATCTAAGCATGATATTGATCATCATGCTTAACATGGATTTGTAAAATAAAATAACTTTGAAATGAAAGAAAGTGAAAAGAAAATGAAACTTTAATTAAAATAAAAATGTAGAAAAATAAACAAAGTAAAAACAAGAGATGTTCAAGCCCTTACCCATGAGGGTATTTATAGGCTTCTAAAATCTAAAAATAACAAGATAATAAAAATAATATATATCAAAATAATTCAAATAATTTCAAGTTCTAAAATTGAAAACTAAAATCCTAGAAAATCTCCTCGGATAATGATGACTAGACGGCTTTCAGAATCTTCGTGCTGATTGGACATTCTAGAACATGCGTCATGTCCAGTGTCGTGTCCATGCCTATAACCGTGACCAGAAAACAAAAAAAAAGTTACAGAACGTGCCCTTTTGCACACAATCAATTCTCCACTACTTAAAAGAAATATGATGCAAGATCATTAGGTCTTTAGAAGGGATGTAACAGGCTTAGGTAAAGGTAGGTAAAAGACCAAAAAATGAAGGTTTAAAAATCAAGACAAAGAATTTCCTACATCTCTAAGTCCATGAGTGAAACAAAATGAATGAAGCAAAAAAAATATATACACCAAAACAAAAAAATCAAATGAACAAACCGTTTTATTTTTTCTTTATTTCAATTTTCATTTTTTAGAATTTTTTCGAGTTCTTTTTCTTCTTTTTTTTTTTTTTTCTTTTTTCGTTTTTTTCTTCTTCTTTTTTCAAAATTTTTTTTCTTGTGGAACAAAGGTTCAAATAAAGTTCATTTACTTGTCCTGTCAAGGGTGAAAAAACAAAAAGGGTTTGTGGTTTTTTAATAAAGGTGAAAACAAGGAAGTAGGCATAGGCTTCAACTTGGTTCACTAGTGGAAAAGAAAAAGGGGTAGGTTTTTTTTATTGGGTAAAAATGGGGTAAATCCTAATGCATAAGTCATATCAAGCAATCTATTTTAATTTTAGTCTCAAAATGCATCATGCCACAAGTTCTAGATTCCAAAAACTTAATTCGACACACTTAAGAAAGAAAGAGAGCAGAAAATTGAAGATAAACATGTGCAAGGCTCAAATTCTCACAAAGTATATTAATGAATCAAGTTAGGTGAAAAAATTAACCAACAAAATCAAGGATGTTCCAAAAGCCATTAAATTAGCATCCTACTCATACCATTCAACAATCAAGGGTGTCAAGATTCAAGGCAATTTCATGAGCTCAAATAACCACAATCATGCTTGAAGTAGTCAACGAAAAAAGAAGAATTGCAATCAAGTAATCAACCAATTCAATCAAGCAAATAAAAGACAAATAGGTGGAATCTGATGCAATCATTATCCCCTCACTTGATCGTATTGTCCCAATACGAAATAAATCAAAATTAAAGTATAAAGAGAAATGGTAAAAGAAACTCCCCATGATCAATTGTTGTCCGAAATGGTATTGATAGGAAGGTGCAGTGTCGGGATGTCCCAGAAAATGCTCAGTCAAAAAGTCCTCTCGGGATTTCATCGTAGGTTGGAACTTTGGGTTCGACCTTAAGCAAGCAAAGGCAATTGTTGTCGCAAAAACAATATCCTTTGCCACTCCTCGATTGCTCGGAAGTGATAGGCGTGGATCTAATATATCACTCAATATTATATTGTTGGAATATAGTGTTGAGAGTTGAAGATAATATTTTTTATCCATTTTATTATTATTATTATTATTATTATTATTAGTATTATTATTATTATTAGCATTATTATTATTATTATTATTATTATTATTATTAGTATTTATTATTATTATTAATATTATATATTATTATTATTATTATTATTTAATAAATAATTACAACTGGACCGGCCCAGTTACAATCCAACTAGAACCGGTCCAGCCAACCAGAAACCCTAAACAAAGTAAGGTTTCAGCTAGGGTTTCTAAACCCTAGCCACACGCCAGCCGCCTCTGATGCTTCCAGATCCCAGCCGCCGCCTCACTGCCAAGTGGTCCAATGGCCCACTGCCGACGCCTCCGCCGCTGCCACGTCCCGAATGATGCTTCCAGAAGATCAACGCCGGCCGTCCACGCCAAGGCTACGGGGTGAGTCACCACTGGTAGTCCGGTGACTCACCGAAGCCCCCTCTTCGGACCAGTCCGATGACCGCACCGATGGTGGCTATAAAAGCCACCACCCACCTGCGAAACAGAAAGGAGAGAAGGAACCGAGACAGCCAACAACAGAAAAAAAAACAGAGGATACAACAAACAACGAATAGCAACCACAGCAGTAAACCAAAGGAAAAGAGAAGAAGAAGACTTACCCTTGAAGCCTTTGTGGCCCTCGGAAGCCAAACGTTGCCAAACCGCCGTTTAAGAAGGTAGAACCCTTCGGTTTTGTTTAGATTTACTCCGATTAGGAGTCTTTTAGGGAAAACAAAGACCGGAA